CGCAGGTCGAAGTAACACGAGGACGGGTACGAGACGAAAGTTTACCCATTGGCTGGTGTGGGGCTCATCGCGGGAGTATGAATTTGAAAACAAAATTGGAGGCTTACCTCCAGACCCGGATGTCGCTCCATGCATGCGGGAAGTAGCATCCCTCTTATCTCTTTGCGGGTATAGCTAGAGGTAGTACATACTGTCGCCATCCTCGACGGGTTTCTCTTGGTTTTGCTCACACTATCGGTAGAGTCAACGAGAAGCAAGGGAGTAGACGAAGGGGGTGAGAGACTGCCTGCTGGCCTAGACACTACTCGCCCTAATGCTTTGGAGGGACAGTGGGAGGTGGGCCGCGGACAGAGAACTTACCTGTAGACCGTATGTTGCTACCCCGTTGGAACGGTGAGGTGGGGGAACAGCCGCTGAGCTAAAAGACTTACCTATTGGCTGATGTAAGACCTCGATCGATAGGTGTGGAATGCAACGGAGAAACTGCAGATCTGTCTGTGAGGGGGCCAAGCTTGTTGAAGAGGGATGTCATTGTGAGTTGGAAGGTTGTCAGGAAGTCAACAATAGGCAAGTAACTCCAGTTTGACCAGCGACTGGGTAGTTCTGGCCATCATTGCGGGGCCTTCAGGCGCATCAAGGCAACAAGGCCCTCTCCTGGGAGTTGAGTTTGTCCCCCTCCTGTATCTTGAGAGTCTGAACCCCCTTCTTCTGCCCTTCTCAATCTAAGTCTAATCCTGGTTATGAGAGGAAGGCCAGGTGGGATTGCAACCCGTAGGACCGTAGCAAGACTCTGTAGGGAGTCAGCCCACCGATTGTGGGGGCTCTGCCGGAACTCAGGAGGAGTTAAGGGGGCAGGGAACTGAGAGGTAATCATTTGCTTTCCTTCTATAAACCCTATTATAACCCCTATTTGTAATTCTTCTTATGGTTGACTGAGTATATTGTTTGCATCACTACTTTGACTTTCAGTCTGAATTTCAAGACACAATTCAGACTTAAGTAAAGGAATGCATGTGTAATATCAATTTCAATTTTTGTTGTCTGACTGAAAGCAGATTGTGGTATTGCATCTGGGGGGAGGATGGGAGGAAGGCAGTATTGCTTGTGTCTGGCTGGGTCCATCAAAGGCTGGGCAAGTCTCCATGAGTTTAGGGAGACCTAGTGCTATGTTTATTTTTGAGTTGCGTGGAGGACCAGACATGTTCCATAAGTTTAGGTGGTCTGGTTGCTCTGACTTGCGAGGGTTGTCTGTGCTTGACTTGCATTGTCCCATAAGTTTGGGTGGTTTGGTTGCCTTGCTTATTTTGGGTTTTCGCAATTTTTTTTGGTTTTGAACAAGGGGGTCTGAGCATGTTCCATAAGTTTGGGTGGTCTTGGTCCAATGCCACGCACATGCTTGAACCAAAAGGTTACAACTTGGTTATATTTTACTATTATTTTATCTACGAGCAGGCTAGTCAGACATTGTTCCATAAGTGTCGGTGGTCTGACTATAGCTTATCACAAACGTAAGAGAGTATTAATTAAGAATAAGTTTGTGGTAAGAAGGGGCAGGTTGAACCTCGAACTAAGATGATCGGTTCAATCATATGCTACCTTAAAAGATTACGTATAGATAATTATATGTAATTGGGATACTTAAGTAGTTCAGGGCGACTAGGCAGGCTAACCTAGTCATGTGCCCAAGGAAGATAAGAGTTGTTGTGCCCTCTGTTTGTGTATGCTCAGTGGTTGAGCTAGACCAATTTCCATAAGTTTGGGTGGTCTAGCTTTACGCCTTATGTACGTCGCGTATGAGGGACAAATCACTAAAAGACTATGAACTATTGTTTGACAAGGTTGAATTCGAGATGGTGAGAGTACTTACCTTTGTGGTTTGGTCTTGCATTTAAGTTTTTGTTTGACATTTAGTTGCTTTAGTTGCTCGCCACGAGCTAGAGCTATAAGAGTTAGTTCAATTTCTGCATTTTTTTAGCTCAGGGTTTTTTACTTAGGTCAATTCTCGCATTTTCTGGGATCATTTCTTATACTTAGTCTAAGTTTTTGTTTGACAAATAGCTGCTTTAGTTGCTCGCCACGTACTAGAGCTATAAGAGTTAGTCTAATTTCTGCATTTTCTGAGCTAAGTTTTTTTTACTTAGGTCAATTCTCGCATTTTCTGGAATCATTTCTTATACTTGGCTTTGTATAAATCTTGGTAAGCTACTTTCTCTACGGGAAGCGCTGCGGAAATTTCTGCAAATCCAAAGAGTTAGTCAAATTTCGGCTTTCAAAAGTTCAGTTTGTCTAAATTTTATATATGACTTAGTAAAAATATGGAAAATTTCCTTTTCTAAAGGGAGTGCTGCCCAAATTTTTATTAATTCAAGGAGTTAGATAAAATTGGACCTTGAGAAGTCAAAGTCATTTTAGGTTCTTAACTTAGCTTTGTATGAATCTGGGAAGTCTTCTTTTCTAAACGGAGTGCTGCCCAAATTTTTACAGATCTAAGGAGTTAGTTAAATTTTATCTTAAGTTGAACTCGAGTTTTTTTTTGAGTTCGCATCTGACTTAGTATAAATGTGGAAAGTCTTCGTTTCTAAAGGGAGTAGTTAAATTTTATCTTAAGTTGAACTCGAGTTTTTTTTTGAGTTCGCATCTGACTTAGTATAAATCTAGAAAGTCTCCGTTTCTAAAAGGAGTGTTGCCCAAATTTTTACTAATTATATTCGACTCAAATAATTCGAGCTAGTATAAATTCTGAAAAGACATTTTTCCTATGGGAAGCGCTGCCCAAATTTTCCTAGTTTAAAGAAGATAGGTTATATTTTGACGGGTGACGATTTTGGCGATCCACTCTGTATAGAGAAGATTTTGCCAAAAAACTACCTTTCCTTAGGCACTTGCTTAGAGGCTTACTTAAGTAGAATAATTTTCAGCAAGATCGTGATGTGGGGATTATTCTCCATGGGCTTATAGATTTAGCTTGGGGATTAGCCAAACTTATGTTATAAGTCCTCTTGATCGATTGATTTAGGATTTAGGCTAGATCCAACTTCATCCTATAGGGATAATCTTCTTTTATTACTGACTGCCGATACGTCGGTCTACGACTTAACTCCAATCCATCCTCAATACTCAAGGCTTTAGCCCTGACGGGTTCTATTGTTCTGTCAAGGTTTTCACCCGGACTTTTATTGAATGGCCATTTGACGAAGATGCTGAGTATTTATTTTTGGAAGGTTGGGCAAAGGTTGGGGCTTGCATAGCTAAAGCAAAAGGTACAAGTAAAGTGGTGGAAGTTGACCCCGTGTAATGTGTGGACTTTTGTTGACTCTTTGATGCGATTGCAGGTATGTTTTGTGGTGCGCATTTTGGATTTGACTGCCTGCGATCACATACATATATATGGTTGAGAGAGGTCCCACTGTGATTGTGAGAAGTGATCGTCACATATTTATCACCCACTATATATATATATATATATATTATATATATATATATATATATATATATATATGCTTACCTGCGTTTGAGTGTTTTGTATGACCTACAAAACCTACGCCTATGGGTTTTAACTGGGGTAGAGATTGAGAAAGGAAAAAACACTTCCTTCCTTCACTACTTTGCGTCTTAAAAAATTCTTAGTCGGACGTTGGTCCTAGGCCTAGATTCGAGGTCCTTGTCCATGACATCCCAGGTCCTAGACTTTGCGTGGAAGGGATCACCCCCCACTCAGAGCCTATTTGCCCTGCCCACCGGGACACTCAACCTAGAGGTCGGAGATGCCCCGGGGGTTGCACAACTATTTCTTCAGCCGTGCAATATCGTGAAGGGCTCGTCCTTCACGATATTTTGAGACTGACACTTGAGTGTCATCATCGGTACTCGGATCCACGAGGGACCGGTCGATTATGGGCACTACATAGTACGTCGTCATTGTGACTGCTTGCGTAGTCATGCATTGCTAGTCGACATGGGAAGGCCCTGCTTCCGCGCGGGTTTTTATACTGAGTCTCGCGCGCGTCGCCTATCTGATTTCCGAGTCGGAAGGTTGTGGGATGGATACAAAAGGGACTAGGAGCGTTGTGGCGTTGTTTGTTCTTTGTCGTTTTGTGTTGTGGTGTAACGCGTGGTAAGTGGGATGCGTCCTAGTCGTTCGACAACGAGTCGCGTATGGGACCTCAACCCCAGTGTGTCGGTTCGTGCGCGGATCCGATAGAGGCGTGAGACCGCTCGTACCCCCTATGCTACAGCGAATGAGAAACGCCCTCGGCTGGTCCACCTCTGCGATTGCAACTGATTAACTTTCGTACTGTGGACTGGTAGCTCGGCGGGGATACGCCCACTGAAGGGAGGTGACAGCTCCCGCAAGGTGGAGGTAAATTGTACCTCGCGTTCGCCCTATCCTGTCCTAGGGACTTCCCAAAGGATGGCTGGCGCACTCGGCCGGAGCGGCTTGCGGAAGCTCCATGTGTATCGCGATGAGGATGAGACCAACTCCTGCGTGACGAGGCCGGGACGGTCCCGCACTGCGCGGGACCGACGCGCTCGACATCGAGTCGTATCACGTTTGCGTCGAGTTGAATGAGCATGCATGTGTGCTCTCTTCCCCTCTCTCTCCCAGCCTCACTGGTCTGCCTCTGCCTCATCACACTGGTATCGAAGCGGCGTCGATCGCCCTCCCGCCCGCCTTGGTCAACGAGGAGCAACTTCAACAATACCATACCATCATCATCATCATCGCCTCCAGCATCGAGATTGCCACGTCATCCCCGCCGTCATCATCTTCAACGGCGACATTGCCACGTTATTGTCATCGTTGCCACGTCATCACCGATCCTGAAACGTCAACGACAACGCGCAGTTACGTCATTATTTTTTTTTCTTTTTCTTCTTCCTTTTCCCCGACATCGTTTCTTTTCTTTTCTTCTTCCCCCTTATCTTCTTCTCATCGTCTTCCCCCGTCGGACTTCGAAATCGAACATCGACTTCGAAATTGAGACCCCGACGATTTCGACAAATCGAAATCGTATTGATTTTCGAAATCGATATCAATTCGATTTCGATCTCGAAATCAAATCAATTTCGATTCAAAATCGAAATCAATCCGATTTTGATTCCAAAATCGAATTGATCTCAATTCGATCATCATCATCATCATCATCGTTCTCTTCGTCGTCATCATCATCGTCATCATGATCATGATCATCATCATCATCGTCATTATGATCATCGTCATCATGATGATCATCATCATCATCGTCACCCTTTCTCCCCCCCACGCGCTGCTTTTTCCCTCGCACGTTACCTTCCCCCCCCGCACGCTCTGCTTCCCCCTGCACCTTGCTTTTTCCCCTGCGTGCTACCTTCCCC